TAGCTAACAAAGGTAAACAGAAGTTTTCCGAATCCCTATAAATGTTATCTTGTTTCAGAATACATAACCTGCCATTATCCAAAGACACATCTGCTTACGTGTATCTTTTGCTCATTTCTCCTCTTCTTCTTTTCTCTTTTTTTTTCTAAACTGAGGACCTGATGGCAAATTTGACCTTTTCTTGTCCATCTTCCATTAGTAATTTTGCACTCCACTATCAACACCCAACCCCACAACATAAAGTAATAGACCTACACCTTAGTGCACAGATTCAGGTTGTATAGAGTTTTTTTTTTCTTCTGGGATTTCACACAACCCAGGAAAATAATTAGTACATAATGGACTTGGATTTAAAATATTATAAATCGTTATTTGGAAGCAGCACGCCCCCTCCCCTTTCGACAGGCGATGTGTGAGCAGCAGCAGCAAGCAGATGCTCCGAGGGCCCTCGCGCTCACTTTTAGGTTATATGTGTGTAATAAAATTTAGAAAACACATCGGTGCAAATTATAAATCTATATCACAGTGTTTTCAGTTTTTGTGTTTGTTGTAGGGCTTTCAACGTTAATGCCTTAATGGCATCATCACGATTAACGAGATTCAATTTTTTAATGCAATCAACCCATCTGGAGCGCAGAATGGACAAACTTTGGACAAACTGCCCAAAATGCGTTGACATTTCAGGGATTTTGAGTCATTCTGTGCTCCAGATGGATTAATTGCATTAAAAAAAATTAATTTTGTTAATCATGATGACGGAGTTACCATTGACACCCCTGTTTGTTTGTTTTTATTTATTTATTTTTATTTGGTTATTAGGCACTACTCCAAACAGCCAGAGAACCCCCACCGCCCCGACCCTCTCCTCCCTATGCAGCAAGCTGCAGGCGCACCTCGTTAATGAAGGGCGCCCTTACTCCCCACAAATGGGCGATAGAAAACCGTTCGGTGCCTGTGCAATTCCTAAAATGCACTGGCATGATGTCGGGGCAGCGTAGGTGAGGGGAACTTTTTTTGTCAATGCCATGATGCCGCCCTGGGCAACTGCCCATGTCGCCCATATCAAAAACCGCCACTGCCCATACTTATATTACTTTTACTTCATTTTATCT